GACATTGCAGTGGTATATAAACCGCACCCAACCTCTTGTAACCCTAACTTTCATCCTCCCCCCTCCAAATCTCGACCCCTAGCGCGGCGGCCTTGGCAACCAGCAGAGGGAAGCAGCGCCGATCCGCCTCCGCCCACCCTCCTCCTCCGATCCAGTGCTCCAGGTGCGTCAAGCCTCCTTTCCTTCGGCGCTCCACCTCCTCGAGCCCTCCTCCCCATTCTTCTCTTTCCCATGGAGGGCGAAGGTTGCGACCGTCACTGCTCCATGTACGGGGCGACCCTATTGATGGCAGCAACACCATGGAGAATGCCCACATGAGGTTGAGGCTAATAATTTTTGGGGGCAAGGCTATCTCACGCCCACTTGCCCACGATCGACTTCCGACAGCAGCATCTTTCCTTCTTTGGCATCTGTTCTTTATTCCTTTTCTAATCTGCACAAAAATTCATATGTGACTGGTTCACCTTTCCTTCGTAGCATCTGTCCCTGGCTTAACATAGATGGAATGTTTAGAGAGAGACAACGGGCCCCACGGTTGAATTTAGGAGAGAGGGATTTATTAGAGGGAAGGCACCGAGCCCCACAGTTGAATTTAACGTGGGGGATACTTATTAGAAGAAAGGCACCGAGTATGTAACTATCCAACACTTTCCGCGTGGGCATCGAGTGCCATAGCACTCGCACGAAGGAGTAAATTTGATTTATTTTTTTTTGCATGAATTGTATAAATTTTACACGTATATTTGCTAAAGATTCTACATAGACTTTTGTTCTGGTTTATTTTAAAGTTTTGGGAAATTCCTGTCAATTTTCATTCTTGGTTTGTCATTTTTGTATGAAATATACTAAAAAACGATTTTTGCCCGTTTCCCGCAGGCCCCCGATGGCACCGACGCATGCTCCTAGAGGCGGCGATGACGTGACCGTGGCAGAGTGCCCAATCTGCATGGAGGAGCTGGTGGCCAACAACAACCGCGGATCCGTGAGGAGATTGCCCGGCTGCTTGCACTCCTTCCACGAAAGCTGCATCACACAATGGCTCTGCAGGGCGGCCACGTGTCCGTGCTGTCGGCGCGACATGGCAGCATATAGTATCCGCGCGTACCCGGTGGCATCGTTCTACTGGAGTCGAAGAATAATGTTCTCATCTCGACATGTATTGTGGTGTAATTGAACATTGCTCAGAATCAAACTACATTTGGTTGTTTAAACCGGTCGACTGAATTCACAGATGGTGATGGTTGATATGTTTTGATAGTTCCTTGGATATTGAATGTGGATTTGCGGTATTTTTCTTTAAATGCCATACTTGGCAATTTTTAAGAGAGCCGGTTGAAAGATCACAAGCTGCATCATAAACGAAATTTGCCCATACACCCGAGGACTCTGCAAAAATAGAAACATTGATAAGGGAAGATAATCGTACTACCGAGAGTAAAATACACCTATATGTGCTTGGGCATCAGTGAGCAGATATTTGATCAGTTTAAGAAAGATTTGACAGAAGTACAATAGCTACCTGTGTGGTTTATATCTGGGTTTTCTGTGACCCGTCATGCCTTGATATACTAGTAGTTTCCAAGAACGCGCGTGGCAGAAATCATCACTAGTGCCAGCCATAGTGCGAAGGGCCCAAGCCCGAGCTACTTGGTTTATCTCAGACAATCCTTGTGGGATAACTTGATAGAAAGCATTTGATGCCTACAGCAACAGCAAGAATTATTTACAATCACTTGAAACAGCAAATGCCAATTGATCAAGGAAAGAAATAAGCTTCTTATTCAAAATTCAGTGCTTCAAGGTCAGAGATTTCTTGCAGTTTGAACTAGTGGAGAACAGTGGAGAACTCGAGATGCAGCACCCATTTATATGGACAGTGGTTTTTACAAGGATATTGAGCATGCCTTACGCCACTTCATTAGTCTTGTTTTCATGTTGAAATGTAATGAACAACCAGCTTTCCGGCATCTCTGTCGGGAGGGGAATTTCTAGTGGAACCAAACTAAACCTGCGGGATGAGCAACAACAAGATTTTTTTTTTTTACATTTACTTCCAACAGCAAATGCCCATCGACTAAGGAAAGAAATGAGCTTCTTATTAGCGAAAAAGGCTTTCGCCCCACTTTACATATAAAGCCAACCACCCAAGCCACAAACATGATACAAGAGTTGAGCCACACACATGCACAAGGCTCGAGAGTTCACACACACGCGCGCGCGCGCGCACACACACACACACAACGAAGGTAGCAAGGTTAATGCCGAGGGCACAGCTCAACAAGCCCAAAAAAGGAGAACAAACACCAGCACACCGGCACACCGGAGAGGGCCGAAAGCCTAGTCTGGCTCTGGAGGAGGCGGCGGAAGCGGGGGCGCCACGCGAAAGGCCATCGCTCGGAGGTCGGCGAGGAGGGTGTCGATAGCGTTTCGGTCCCAGCAGGGGCAGAGCCAGAAAATTTGGCCATTGGGTTCACTCATTCACTCTTTGTGAGAACTTGATACTAATTTATGAAGATTAAAGTCTAATTGCAACAAAAAATTATAGCACCCGTAAACAATATAATGAAAAAAATATAGTATCACATATCACATATTGCGTGGCATTAAAAACCGAAAAGTGCAAGACATACCTACGTCTAACGGGTGACCTCGATACGTCTGTATCAGATATCTGGATCTGATGACCAAGTTCTCTTCGGATATACCATTCGATAGCATAGATCAATCAAAAAGTCCATGAAGAAAAACAAATAATAAACTGGGGTGGATAAAAAACTATCATACTAGGCAATTAGGCTAGATAGAACATATACAAGAGAGGGAAGCTGTGGCAATGTATTTTAATTACCACAATTTTTAGGCTACAGTTGTTATCGCTGTGGATCTGCAGCGGCCTGCTTGCCGGCAGCGTGCGGCGGCCAAGGCGTAGAGCAACACGAATAGAGGAGAGTCAAGCAGGAGAGATGCGAATTGGAAAACGAACGGACTAGGGATGAGGCGTTCGGCTGCATTTTCTGTTATGCATCACGGTTTAGGCCTGGTAATGGACTCATTGACATTTGCTTATGGGCTTTTGGGTCCTTTATTTAGCTATCCACGAGGTCCTTTATTTGATGAGGTCAACGACCATTTTTTGCTGGGTTCATGTGACCAAACAAGTACCTACACGCACGTACAAGGTAAATTTCGTTGGGTTCACTTGAACCAGCGAACCCAACGGTTATACATTGGCTCCGCCACTGGGTCGTGGAGGCGGCTAAGCGGCCATCAGAGCTACAAGAAACCACACATTTTAAAGATGGCGTTAGTCGCACGTTGAAGAGAAGCACGCTGGATGACAAGCCTATTGCGAACGGTCCAGAGCGTCCAAGCGAGAACCCCAACACACAACCATCTAATGTGGCGGTGACGGGAGGTAGAGGCCTGAATCTCCGCCAACAAGTCAGTGAAGTTGGTGTTGTATCAAGTTCCACCAACAACGTCGCGGAAGCAGGACCACAAGAACTGAGCGGTCACGCATGAAAAGAAGATGTGATTAGCATCTTCCACCACGCCACAGAGCGAGCGCAGTCCGTCTCCAGACCCGTTACGCTTGCTCATCTCAACCCCTGAGGGCAAGCGTCCACGAATCCACTGCCAAAGGAAGATCCTGATATTCAAGGGAAGGCGGATGTCCTAGATCAGACTAAACGGCTCAGGGGCCGTGGTATTCAAAATTCAATACTTGACAAGGTTGGAACTTATGCAATACCATCGGTTCGTCCTTCACGACGTCCCATGCTTCAATCTTCCTGGCCGAACCACTCAATTGCGGTCGGTCATCTTGTCCGTCGTAAAACATACTATTTCCCTACATAATGCAGCAGCTGCAGTAATCGCTCTCTCCTTCAGTTTAAGAATACAAGAGCAGAGTAAAACATACTATTTCCCTACATAATGCAGCAGCAGTGACCTCAATTCCTGTGTCAGCCTTCGCTTTTTTTTTTCCTTGTCAATCATTGATGGCTGCTAACTGCGGCATGATTGAGCTAAAATAATAACCATAGGTAATATACTCTCTTTTTTCGAGTAGACCATACGTAATATTCGGGACACCATGAAAATGTCGACCTATACTGTCACAGTGAGTGGCAGTGGAATATTTACATACAAATCATTCACTGTCCTGACATCACGAAAAATGCCGTGTGGTCTGAGCCTGATCATGATGGTGTCGCATTAACCGGGTCAGGTGGAGTAGCACAATGTCAAACCGTAACGTGTGAGCTGCCTATTTTAATTTCCTTCCAGAAATAGATCAGCATGCACACAAAGTCATCAGTGTCAGTAAAAATATTGGTCAAGTATTCGATTCGTTTGATCTTTCAGTCACTTGAATCCAATGAGGATAGAGACAATGGTTATATATATGTATGTAACCTTTGTCCCGAAGGCGCGGAATGATTTGTTTGACCAACATGTCATTATGTCATTAGTGACATGGCTAAATTGTCATTGTTGACATTTTCTGATGTTCTATTATGTGCGCTGTGACTGCAGGATGGCGCTGCTGCAAGTTAAAACGGCCACGCCTCCGCTCACCACCCCTACCCTCCACAGAAACTGGAACATCATTTTGCTCGCGCGCCGGCTGGTTTCAGGTTCAGGTTCCGCCGCCCTGCCTGCTTCTCCCGATCCCCTTCCGAGGTAGCTTGGCTGCTCTCACACCACCGACCCACCCTTTCATTTCCTGCCCACGCCCATTCGATCAGTTCCGTGGAGATTCCGTTTGGTTCGTACGACCATGCCTCTGGTTCTGTCTTCTGTGCTGAGATGAACCAACGACGCACACCTCAACCAAACCTGCTCTGTTTCTGAATTCATTCTTATTTATTTGCTTATTTGTTTGCATCATTGTTAATGATTTAGCATAAAAAAATGAATGGATTCTGCTACAATTTGCATAACTTAACCCCTTTGGTTGGCCTGGCCATGTTGTTTTTGCAGTTTAGGTGGCCGGCATGGCTGCTGAATCCGAGAGCTGCAACTGCAGTGCCTGGGCAGCAAATGATCCTTCCGGAGTACTCTCCCCTCACAGTTTCAACCGTAGGTAATCAAACACGCAACACTCCCTTGTGAGAATTTATTTACAAGAAAACTCAACGCTCTGCTCTTCTCCACACCAGTGGACCTCTTTTTTAGCAAACGATCCTTCTGAAACTGAGTATGTGGTTGGCGCAAGCTCCCGCGAAAAAAGCCGTCATACTAGTGCAATTATCTGTGCAGTGTGTTATGCAATTCATTTTTTTTTTCAAGTGCTTTGTTAGCCCAGTTATGTGCTTGTCTTAAAGCTTTGTTCTCTGAATAGATATAGACTTCTGTACTTGCTAGTCCAGTTATTCATCGCAGTAAATTATAAGTAGACACCTTGCCGATGCCGACTGAACTACTGCTTTGTCAGCGTGTTACCTTCTTCTTATAACCAGTGCTTACGCATATGCTACCCTGATTAAATACCAGGGCTGCACGACATGATGATGTTTCTTTGAGGATCACACACTGCGGTGTCTGTTATGCTGATGTTCAGTGGACAAGAAATTTGCACCATGACTCGGTGTACCCTTTAGTCCCTGGGTAAGCTTTTCAGTGCATTTTTCTTTCTGTTGATTGACCTCATTTAATCACTGGTATTCTGTAAAGATAAAGGATTATGTGCTAACCTGGGTGCCTACTGTTCAACGTGGCTATAGGCATGAGATTGCTGGAGTTGTAACCGAGGTTGGTTCAGACGTCAAGGGCTTCAAACTGGGCGACCATGTGGCTGTTGGGACATACATCAACTCATGCCGTGACTGTGACAACTGCAATAGCCTCCTCGAGAACCACTGCTCAAATTTTGTTTTCACTTTCAATGGTGTTGATACAGACGGCACTGTCACAAAGGGAGGCTATTCCACTCACATTGTAGTTCATGAACGGTAAGGATGCCTTCTCTTCTGGATGTTCTGAATTTGGTGTAGGCTGTCTTTGGACAAATAGTCATGGCAATTCTTTTTCGCCTCCAAGTCAAAACCCACTTCTCTGGTATAAGAATATTGTGTTTCCTGTTAATTCATTTTCATGACAGGTACTGCTATAAAATACCTGACGGCTATCCGCTGGAAAAGGCCGCACCTTTAGCTTGTGCTGGGATCACTGTGTATACACCGATGATCCGGCATAACATGAACCAGCCGGGGAAGTCACTTGGGGTTATTGGTCTTGGTGGGTTGGGTCACATGGCAGTGAAATTCGGGAAAGCCTTTGGACTGAATGTGACAGTTTTGAGTACAAGTGAATCCAAAAGAGATGAAGCTATCAACCTTCTTGGTGCAGATAATTTTGTGGTATCATCAGATAAAAATCAGATGGAGGTACTGAACACCTTTAATCTCTTTCAAAGCTGAGTGTGAAACAACTTACAACAGAGCACAACAAGTACATATCTCCTTGCCTTATGTTAGATTCCAACTAAAAAAGCATTAAGTGCACAGAGGAACAGAGCTCATTCTGCAATCGATACTGCTGCCTATACTATTTTGTGCGAGAGACAATTAGTACGGCTAAATTCTGCTTGTTATTCTTCTCACTCTGCTTTGTACTAAGTGAGAATAACGAAATGGTTTACTTTTGCAGTCCCTGAAAAATTCTCTGGACTTCATTGTCGATACTGCCTCTGGTGACCACCCATTTGACCCTTATCTCGCGCTTCTGAAAGTTCGTGGCGTGATGGCACTAGTTGGCTTTCCTGGAGAAATCAGAGTCCATCCTGCAACACTTAATCTGGGTAAACACCTTACCATTACCAGTCCAGTTAGTGAGAAGTCTGTTTATTTATATCTTGTATAATTGTATGAGACTGTATACCGTCGAACAGACCACTAGTTGTTAGTTTTCTGGTTCAAAACTTGGTGAAGAGTTGAGGATCTAAAAGCATTTGAACGTTGTTACTGGTGTTTTGGTGTAATGAAACTGGCTTTCAGTCCTTTCATAGAAAGATAACTAATCAGAACTTACTGCAGGTGCACGAACTCTATCTGGCAGTGTAGTCGGAGGCACCAAGGACACCCAGGAGATGATAAACTTCTGCGCGGCAAACAAAATCTACCCAGATATTGAGATTATAAAGATAGACTACATCAACGAGGCTCTCGAGAGGCTTGTCAACCGGGATGTGAAGTACCGGTTTGTAATTGACATAGAGAGCTCTTTCAAGTAATATCTTCACGGTTGGCACATTTTCGAATCCTTATAAAAGTGTGTAGAATAAAGTTGAATCTTCCAAACAAACGCGGCTGACTTGTGATAGAGGGCTTTCCTCTGTAATGTTTTTGTAAAGATATACGTATTACTTTCAGAAAATATGTAAATAGACCTCCTATGAATGCTCAATGTAGTATCGAATTTTCTGAATTTTTTGACTGATCAACACGTGAGTAATGGTCAGATTGAAGAGAGGAAATACAGTCCAAAACAGCTGAAGCCAGTGGGACCTTTGATAGACAATATTGGAAAATTTTACCTCACTTATTTCTGGGGCTGATCTAGAACCTGCTTCACAGAAGCAAATATCATGTCAGTATGCATTTCAAGCTTCGACAAACTATTTTGGGACTATTTATGTTTAGACAAAAATGAATCAAATCTCCAATTTTAACTACAAAACAAGAGCTCCGCTTCGGTACACCCTCCCTCTCACAAACCGTATAGAGGGCAATATGGACTTTTGACATATCATATACAGTTTTGTATGATGGGTCACCCGACGTATACGGACGTGCGTGCCATCAGTACAGTGTTATGTGCACCTTGGCGGGCCCAGCCCATTTTGTTTTTTTCTTTCTTTTAAACTTCAAAAAGTACAGGTTCCACCTGTAGTACTGAAGGCGCTAACCACTGGGTTACTTAAACTGTCGTGCTACAGTACTTCTTTCCTCATTATGGCAGCCATAACGCTAATAAAAAAGCGTGCATTCCCGGACTGAGTTTTTTCAGTTCAGCCATTTTTATTCTGTTTTTTTCGTTTTTTCTCATTTCTTTTTATATTTTCATTTTCCTTTCTTAAATCGGAATCCTTTTCAAATGTATTTAACTTTTTCAAATGTCATGAACTTATTTTCAAATCCATGAATTTTTTGAAATTCATGAATTTTTTTCAAATTCAGTGGTTTTTTCGAATTCATGAAGTTTTTAAAAATCCATGCACTTTTAAAAAATTTATGAACTTAACTTTCAAATTGGTGAACTTTTTTGAGATTATGTGAATATTTTTTGCATTTATAAATTTTCAAATTCATGAACTTTTTAAAATTTCATGATTTGTTTATCAAATTTGTGATTTTTGATTTTTTGTGATTTTTTTTTCAAATTCATGAACATTTTTAATAAAGTTTGGGTCATTTTAAGAATGTCTAAAAGTATATCATGTTCAACGGTGGGTGTTCAGCTAGGCAAGAAGGTTCCATTTGAAAGCACGTTTTTGACATCCATGAAATGCCCCCATTTTTTTTCACCATCATCTATGACCAATTCAAGGCAGCATGCCAAGTTCTTTGAGTTTTTGACAATTCTTGCATTTTTTTTGGAGTTTTCTTGGTCAAAATTCGTCGATAAATGGCCAAATGTGACACAACTTTGCATACGGTGTCGGAATTCATTCAAACCTGGCATGGATGCCTCATATGTCCATGCCAGGTTGCTCCAAGAAGTTGAGGTCATTTATCCATTGTCCAGAAAAAACACCAGTTTAGAGGAGTGTGCTGACTAAGCCAGATAGGTGCATCTATGAGCATGTTCTTTTTCCAAATTTGATTGCATTTGTTATTTGCAATTTCCTTCATTATCAATCAACATAAACATTTTCTTATATCCTAACTATTTCTTTAAATTTCTTAACAATTTTGTAATTTCAAATTGTGTACGAAAATTTTACAAACATTAACACTTTTTCTAAAAAAATTACCAAGTTCCCAACAATTGATATTGAACGCAAAATGCAAATAACGTACTTTTTCTTAAAATTTATCAAATTTTTTAAAACGCAAGCATTTCTTAAATTTGTGAAAATAAGTAAAAAATGGGAACATTTTTTGAAATTCCAAAACATTTTTTAAAAATGTAAGAGTATATGAAAACAAGAAAAAAATTGGTATTCCAAATAATATTTCAGATATTTTAACAGGTTTCAAAAACAATAATAAATTTCAAAAATGAGAAAAAATGAATTAACAAGAAAAGAAAAAACACGAAAAAATAGAAATTAAACGCTTAAGCCTTGGCCTAACTAGGTGACAGCATTGCTCCCGTGGGCGCCTATTGGGCCAGCCCAAGCATTAACATATTTGAATAAAGTTCATCAATTTTGGAAAAAATGCTCACTAATTTCAATGAATTGCAGGTTTTAAAAAAAGTTCGTCAAAGTCAAAAAAGAGTTCATGGATTTCAAATGCCATGAACTTATTTTCAAATCCATGAACTTTTTGAAATTCATGATTTTTTTTTCAAATTCAGTGGTTTTTTCGAATTCATGAAGTGTTTAAAAATCCATGCACTTTTAAAAAATTTATGAACTTAACTTTCAAATTGGTGAACTTTTTTGAGATTATGTGAGTATTTTTTGCATTTATAAATTTTCAAATTCATGAACTTTTTAAAATTTCGTAATTTGTTTGAATTTTTGTGATTTTGTTTCAAATTCATGAACATTTTTAATATTTGGGAACATATTTTGGAATTTCATGACCTCATTTTAAAATTTGTAACTTTTATAAAAACAATTATAAAGCTTTTAAAAATACATGAACTTTCTTGAAATTTATGAACTTTTTCCAGAATCGTAACTTTTTTCAAATTCATGACCCTTTTTGTGTCTGCTTTAATTTCAAATTCATGAATTTTAAAAAATATCATGAGCACGTGGAACTTTTTTCAGTGGTCAGCAACATATCCTAATCCATGTGGTCATACGCTCATCCACACCTGCTCACCTGCTCGGTTCCTCACTGTGAGAGCCGTTTTGCTGGGCTGGCCCAAAATCCTACCGCGTGAGCACCGAATGGTTTACCTGGCGCAACAAGCGCTCCTTAGGAGCTCCCGTACATTCGGGGAGTAGCGTCAAATAGACTGCGCCACGCACAGGAGGCCGCCCGACTGGGCTGGCCTATAAAGCTGGCATGGATGACTACCATGGGCATGCCCACCTGCTTGAAAAGGTTGTGGTCATTTTAAGAATGTTCAAAACTAGACCATGTTAAATGTAGAGTGTTTAGGTTGTTCATAAGGCTCCGTCCAAGAGCACGTTGTTTTCTGACTTCCTTCAAATGGCCCTAATATTTTCCACCAGCTTCTATGACCAATTCAAGGCACCATGCCAAAGTTATTTGTGTTTTGGACAATTCTTGCATTTTGGAGTTTTCTAGGTGAAAATGGTCCATAAATGGCCAGACATGACGCAACTTGTATACGATGTCGGAATTCGTTCAAACCTGGCATAGATGCTGATGTGCCCGTCAGTGTCGTACCAAAAACTGATCATATTACAAATTCTAATATTTTGATGATGGGTACAATGACACTTAAAATACCGTCACCAGAACCAGAGCCTGAAGAAGTCAAGCCTAATTTTCGTACGCCAAACTGGATAGTTGTCGGTGCTATTTCGGTCCAGGTCATATGAGATTTACGTGCAGAAGCGTTCTAAATCCAAGGTGATATAGTACAGTTAAGGTATAGAGCAATGCTTCGGTACACCCCTCCTCACAAAACGTATAAAAGGCAGTATGGACTTTTCACAAGTTGTACTCACTTTTCTACGTATACGTTGTAGGTTCGTATAATACCCGGCGAACAGCCTTCCCACATGGGCTCAGCCCATTTAGCTTTTTTAGTTTTAATCATCAAAAAATGGATGTCGTCGGCTCGATTCGAACTACAGCACTCACACACTACATGTAACCGCACAAACCATCTGGGCTAGCACATCTGATATGCTTACTAACCTTGTTTTCTTCTTCTTGTTCGAGAGACACAACACCAAGAAAAAAAACACAGCACCTTCACTCTTTGGTTTATGTTTTTTTGCACGGTTTTTGTTATGGTTTCTAGTTTTCCTGTTTTGTTCATAAAAGACTAATATTTGTTTTTTAAAATTGTGCATAAATTTCAAAAAAAATGTTCATGCCTTTCAAACTTGCTTAGAATGTCAAAACACAAACAGTTTTTTTTTAAATAACAAAATTTTAAACATGTACATTAAAAAAACAGTAACGAATTTGGAATTCCAGAAGAATAAAAAAAAATTGAATTCCGAATTTTTTTAATTTATGAGAAATAGAAACAATAAACTGAATAAACGAAAAGTCAAAGAAGGCAAAAAATGAACAAGAGAGAATATAAAAAGAGAAAAAGAAAAAAACACGGTTCACGACCTTCGAGAATGTCCCAAAGCCGGAAAAAATGGCTGGGAAGCCAAGGTTCCCAAAACCGAGAAAACCTTTTGGCAAATTTCCTTAGTGAACTTTTTTTTGAAATTTTTTAGATCCATGAATATTTTGTAAAAAAAATTGATGAACTTTTTTCAAATCTGTGAGCTCTTGGACCGGGCCCACACGCGCCCGACGAGAGCAATGTCGTCGCCTAGTTAGGCCAAGGCCTAAGCGTTCTATTTTCTTTTCTATCTTTTTCATTTCATTTCTTATTTTACTAATTCAATTTTCTCTTTTTTTAATACCAAAATACATGTTTTAACTAACTTTTTAAACTAATGGTTCCAAATTATTTTTTCTATTTTTTTATTAAATGCTTTTAAAAAATACTTACGGTTTTCAATTTTATCCCTTTGTATTTATTAGTTCGGGTCATTTCAAGGATGTCCAAAAAACACCATGTTTAACGGAGATTATTCGGTAAGGTCAGAATGGTTCTTCTGAGAGCACATTATTTTTCAATATCTTTGAAATGGCCCCAATTTCCCCAGCAAAAAAGAAGAAGTAATGGACCTAATTTTTCCCATGGCCTTTTATGAGCAATTCAAGGCACCATGCCAAGTTGATTTGGTTTTTGACAAGTTCTGCATTTTCTGGAGTTTTCTTAGTAAAAGAAGACCGATAAAATGGTCGAACATGTGGCAACTTACATATGGTGTCGGAAATTGTTAAACCTAGCATGGTTGCCTACCATGGGCATGCCCATCCGGGTGCACCCTCCATTGAACATGGTCTA